CTGATACCTCTTAAAACTGACTTTAAAGGATTATTCTGAAATGATGTTAAATTATTAATCATCTTTAACCACTATCCAATATGGAAACTTGAGTGTAAGAAAATGAGTAATACTGAAAAATATGTCATGCTTTCTTTCACTGCAAGTTAATCCTTGAAAGTGTTATTTTTACATAGTATTTTTTAAGATGCTTCAAGTATCCTTTAAGATGCTTGAATTAGAGGGTATTGCTATTTCCTGAGCCAATGAATGATAAATGTTTAAAAGTTTACCATTGTGATCGATTCTTTTATTTCATTATCTGTTGCCTTTACACATCCGGAAAATCTAAAATTCTTTAAAAAATCTGGTCATAAAAAGTCTTTAAAATATTGCTATACAATCTATGTGCTGACAGTAAAAATTTCTGTCTTTTGTCTTTTTTTTTCCGTGTCCGGCAACGGATCGCAACCCTCAGTGTTGCCCCCGTACCGGACCGGGGACCGGCAACGGGATCGCAAGCCTCGGTGTTGCTCCCGCGCCTCGCTCAGCCAGTGAGCGGGAGCCGGTCTGTATGTGGGATCCGAACCCTCGGACGGGAGCGCCACCGCGCTTCCCAAGCGGCGCACTATCCAGTGCGCCACCGGGCCGGCCCCTGACATTAAAAATTTCTAAACAAAATTCCTCTTTCCTATATGTGAACAAATTAAGCTGAGGCTTCACTAACAGAAGCCAAAGCAGGTCACTCCACACTGAATCCGGATAATAAAAGGAAGGTTGTAAGACGAACCTCCATTTGGGTGCAAGTGGGAGCAGCACATCCCTGTGAGTCTCTAATCTCAAAGAGGTCAGCCGAATTAGGAAGGACACGGACAGGTGGGTTTTATTACAATTTTGCCTCCTATGCCTGATGCTGTTAGTTTGGGGCCCATAAAATAGGAAGGAAGTGTATTAATTGTGTGACTTGAGAAATAAGTCTTGAAAGTGAAATTGTCTGTGTCCATTACTCTGGAGTCAGTGTCTGTAGGGTGGAGAGTATAATACTGTTTGGGGGTGGGGAGGGTTTTTGAGGTGTTTAGGGGCTGACCAAAGAAAAGATNTAAGAAAACCTGCCCAAAGCTACACTGCCCCTAAGTGGTGGCGCTACTACTTGGACCATAGTCTATCTGTCAGACTTCATGGCCTGGGTCTTCTCACCAAGCCACAAGAAGAATGAGACCTGCCAATAACATCCGATGGATTCAGTCCCTTTCCTAAGGACAAGATAAAAAGAAAAAAAAAAAAAAATTACATTCTAGGGTATAGTAAAAATTAATCCAATAGTTTACAGAACCTTGCCAACAAAAACGGAAACGGAAAAAAAAAAAAAAAAAAAAAAAAAAAAAAAAAAAGAAAAGAAAAGACAAATGAGAAGATAAATATTTTCAGGCTTTTTGCTAATAAAAGTAATAAATTCACTATCTTTTGAATAAATTCACTAACTTTTTGGTGAAGAACTGTGCGTTCTGTTCTTTAGAAAACTATTATTTGGTAATTTCTTCATTCAGAATTCTGCTATAAATACTGTTAGTGATTATTCGAAAGATGACACATATCACTTCTAATATTATAAAGTTTGAAAAAAGAATGCCTAAAATATCTAATACTACATTAGGGAAGTATCATTAAACACAATTTCCTTTTTACTTTTTTTTATATCCTCATTCTCTATTCGTATAAAGCTGTGGAAATTATGCTGCCATGGCCATCACTTTATTAGATAAATGGGTTACTTTCTAGGGCTTCACTGGCTGCTGTTAAGCATGGTTTAGTCTACTATTGTCAAATTGGTGCAACATTCCTTGGTTAGTCTCCTAAACAGTGGTCTAGTTTTGGTTTATTATTCTGCTCTTGATAGAATCCAAAAAATTTAATGCTCCATGAAAAGCCTAACAAATTCTGAAACAGCCTTCAGTTTTGTTTTGATAATAAATACCTCTTTATAAAATGTAGGTATAAAGTTTCAGGTTGTCAAAGCTACCTGGGTAAGTTTCATTTTTTTTTTTTTTCGATTCCTAGTTTTCCTCCTTCAGTAAAATGGCAAGAATACTCAAGTGCACATGAAAAATTGAATAGTTTCAAAAAAGAAACCTAGAACTACTGCCACCCTGGAATCTGAACAAAAAGACTTTAGTCCTACCAAATCTTACCTGACTATATGAGACTCAGGTACATAATGAATAATTTATGAAAATCACTAATCTACATCTTAGACAAAGAAAACAACTTATATTCTCACAAACGTGCCATTTATAATCATAGCTGCAATTTCAAAATTAAGTCTAATGGGCAACATTTACATTCATTTAAAAAATACTGGCTCACAGGCTGGCCAATTAGTTCATTTGATTAGAGTGTGGTGCTGATAACACCAAGGTCAAGGGTTCATATTATTGAAATGGCCAAAAAAAAAAAAAAAAAAAAAAAAAAAAAAAAAAAAAAAATTGACTTAGACTTCCTATGAGCAAAATATCACAAATATAAAAATGTGAATAAAACAATACCTGCCCTAAGCACTTATAAGCTAGTAAACATACATAATTCAGGAAACTTTATAGTGCCAAGATAGCTTACCCAGTGTTGAGTATTCAAAACATTAATCTCTCTTACCTCCTCTGACTTGAAAGCCTGTTTGGTATGTGAGTATTTCAAAAACCTAGAAAGAAAAATAAATTACCTGTCAGATATAACAGTTGAGTTAGTTTTAGTAACCTTAGTTTCCTGAAAACTAGATCTTTTACAGATAAATAAAAGCCACAAAGGCAATTCGTAAACCCATTCCCAAGTTACTTAATTTCTGATTAAGCAAGAACTTACATGAGCTACAGGAATTTTTAAAGTATGGTTATATTAAAGCTATATAATAATATGAATAATTATTCAATTTTAAGAAAAAAGCAGAATGTAAAACTGCACATACAATACAAATAGTTACATTAAATGCATATGTTAAAATACTCAATAATAAAATTCTTACATTACATGTGGTCAAGTGGTGCAATTCTGAGTAATTTTTCTCCCTATTCTTCTACTTTCCAAATTTTTAGATATGTAAACAGCTTTTATAATGAAAAATTTAATAAAAGCAATGATGTATTCACAAAAATTTCAATTAATTAAATCTATCCACATATAATTCAAGTAATAACTTCATATAAATTACCCTTAAAGTTCTTACCGAGCAACAGGAAGCACATTGGAACCTGTGTACATCATAATAAAGAAAAATACTCCACTCAGATAAAGACGAGGTAACTGTGGGTTATCTTGCATGATATGGTATAACAAAATAGCAACCTTCTCAACAAGGATTGGGTCAAAGGTCAGTAGTAGCTGAAAAAAATAAAATTTTGGTTACTTTGTTGTAAAAAACTTGTAATAACATCACTCATTTTAAGTTTGTGTATTTCACATGCTGAAGTTGCACTTTTCCATGTAAGTGATAAAATAAAAATCCATGGGATTCAGTAAATTTGTCTACCAGACTCAACAGATTTGAAAAAGGATTCATTCTACAACATTCACTGCAGAGACAGTAAAATATCAATTGAGAAGTGATCAAAACTTATTCAGAAAAAGTTCAAATGTGCCTGAAGCTAATTTTCTTCAAGAATCTTCCTAAATGGACACCTCTACTAATCACACACACACACACACACACACGCACGCACACGCACGCACGCGTGCACTATGTTTTGCTACATTTTGGGTTAGTTTCAGTTCAGTTCAGCTGATATGAAGAATCCCTTAAAGGCTACTTGAGAATTCAAGGAGCAGAACAGAAAACAACTATCACTGAAACAGCACTAAAAAGTAAATCCAGAAGTGTAGGTAAAAGACAAGAGGGTAAACAAGTACCATAAATATCAGACAGTACTTCTACTACCAGAAAGTACAGAAAGGTGTGGCCTCTAGAAATTGAGCTAAAAACACTAAAGGGAATATCTGGGACTACTATAATAAATATTAACTAATAAAAAACCATACAGAATTGCAACAAATAAATATTTGATAAACAAACTTTTATAATTTTATCTATGAAGCTTAATAAAGGTGGCACTGCAATTTTCTATACACACTTACTTCCAAAGAATCCCCAATTTTGGGTCAAATGCTACCAGTAAAAAAAAAAAAAAGACAATAGAACCTCCACCACCTGGCAGAAGGCAGAAGCACACCTGAGGACTTAGGCAGGAGCCACAGGCAGCCCCCACCACCCAGCAAAAGGCAAGTACACCCGGGGAACTAGGCAGGAGCTATGGGAAAACCCACCAAACAGCAGGAGGCAGGAACACACCCAGGGACTTAGGAACCATAGGCAAGTCCCACCACTTGGCAGAACGCAGGAGCATGCCAGAAACACTGTTTCTGCACAGGTGGTCCACAACAGCAATCACCACAGCCACTGTCACCATAAGGGCAGTTCGCTGCCACAGTAGCAGCCACAGCCACTGTGCAGGTGGCCCACTGCCCACTCAACAGCACTGACATAAGGAAACTCACCAGCAGAGACCAGAAAAAGAAGTCTCTCTCCTCAAGGCCAACACCAGAGTAATAAAAGAAGCAACTGCTCTACCAGATGATCAGACATCAATGTAGAGATACTAGAAATGGGGGGGAAATCACACCACCAAAGAAAAAAGTAATTCTCAAGTACCAGACCCCATAGAGCAGGAAACCCTTGAAATGACTGAAAAGGAATTCTGAGCAATAATTTTAAGGAAACTCAATGAGATATGAGAAGACTCAATGAGACAGCATAATGAAAGGAGAAAAATTTCCAGAATATGAAGGAGGATATTTACACAGAGATTACCACATTAAAAAAAGAATATAGCAGAACTCCTGCAAATGAAGGATTCATTCAAGGAAATAAAAAACAAAATGGACAGTTTAAGAAGCAGGTTAGAGCAAGCAGAAAAGAATATCTCATCTTGAAGAGTCTTCACAAAGTAACTCAGGTGAACAAAAAAAGGGAAAGAATTTTAAAAAATGAAGAAAACCTAAGAGAGCTAACAGACAACCTTAAGCTCACAAACATCCAAATCACAAATGTTACAGAAGGGGCGAAGAAAGGAAAAGGCATCGAAGACCTATTCAATGAAGTAACAGAAAGTTTTACACAGATAGAGAGACAACTGGATCTTCAGACCCAGGAGGCTCAAAGATATCCAAATAGATTCAATCCAAAAAGATCCTCTCTAAGATACATTACAGTGAAACTGGCAACGCTCAAAGACAGAGTGAGAATGTTAAAAAAAAAAAGCAAGAGAAAATCATCAAGTCACCTATGAGGGAGTCCCCACCAGACTAACAAGAGACTCCTCAACAGAAAGTCTACAGGCCAGAAGGGAATGGGATGATATATTCAAAATACTAAAAGAAAAAACTGCCAGCCAAGAATACTATACCCAATAAGGTTATCCTTCAGAAATGAAGGAGAAATTATGTATTTCCCAGACAAACAAAAACTGCAGGAATTTACCATCACATAACAAGAACTGCAAGAAATCCTCAAGGGAGTCCTGCATCTGGAATCTGGAAAACAATAATCACTATCACAACTACACAAGAAAGAACAAAACCCACTAGTAGAACAAAAATGCAAACAAAGAAGAGAAAGACACTATATCTTACCACCTCAAAAACCAACAAACATCAAAGACAAACAATAAAAAGGGAAGAAAAAAAGATATTTAAAATTTCCAAAGGAAAATTGGTAAAATGCCAGGAGTGAGACAATACCTTTCAATAACAAACCTAAATGTAAATAGATTAGACTCCCCACTCAAAATATACAGACTTACTGACTGGAAAAAGCTAGACCCAACTATATGCTGTCTCCAAGAGATTCACCTCACCTATAAAGACATACACAAACTAATAGTGAAGGGATGGAAAAATATATAACATGCAAATGGAAATCAAAAATGAGCAGGAGTAGGGCCGGCCCCGTGGCGCACTCGGGTGAGTGCAGCGCTTGGGAGCGCAGCAGTGCTCCCGCCGCGGGTTCGGATCCTATATAAGGATGGCCGGTGCGCTCACTGGCTGAGTGCGCTGCGGCTGACACCGGGCCGAGGGTTGTGATCCACTTACCGGTCACAAAAAAATAAAAAATAAAAAAATAAAAAATAAATTAAAAAAAAAAAGAGCAGGAGTAACTATTATATTGGATCAAATAGACTTTAAACCAAAAACTATAAAAAGAGACAAAGAAGGCCATTATATAATGATAAAGGGATCTATATAGCAAGTAGATATAAGAATCATAAATATATATGTACCCAACACTGGAGCTCCCAAATATATATAGCAAACAGTACTAAGCCTAAAGAAAGAGCTAGCCCCCAGTAAGACACTTGTAGGGGACTTGAGGAACCCTCTCTCACAATACTGGACAGATTATCCAAGCAACAAAAGAATGGGATTGATTTAAACTTCACCTTAGACCAACTGGACCTGGCAGATATCTACAGAACATTTCATCCAACAACTACAGAATATACATTCTTCTCATCAGCACATGGAACATTCTCCAGTATAGCCCACATGTTAGGTCACAAATCAAGTCTCAGCAAATTTTAATAAATCAGAATCATTTCAAGTATTTTCTCAGACCACAACAGATTAAAGCTGGAAATCAATAAAAGTGAAACGACAGAAACTATAACAAATACATGGAAATTAAAAAATAGGCTCCTGAATGACCTATGGGTCCAAGAAGAAATTAAACAAGAAATCAAAAAATTTCTTGAAACTAATGAAAATAAAGACACATCATACCAAAACTGGTGGGATACTGCAAAAGCAGCACTAAGAAGGAAGTTTATTGCAATTAATACTTACATCAAAAGAATAGAAAGATTTCAAGTAAACAATCTAACACTTCAACACAAAGACCTAGAAAAACAAGAATAATCCAATCCCGGAAGTAGTAGACAGAAAGAAATAATTAAGATCAGAGCAGAACTAAATGAAATAAAGAACCAAGGAATAAATACAAAAGACCAGTGAAACAAACAGATGGTTTATTTAGAAGATAAACAAAACAGACAAATGATTAGCTAGGCTAAATTAAAAAGGGAGAGAGAAGACCAAATAACAAAAATCAGAAATGAAAAAGAAGACATTACAACCAATACCACAGAAGAAAAAGAAGACATTACAACCAATATCAGAAATACAAAGAACCATTAGAGACTATTATAAACAACGATATGCCAACAAATTTGAAAACCTGGAGTAAATGGATAAATCACTGGACACATACAGACTACCAAGACTTAACAAAGAACAAATAGAAAACCTGAACAGACCAATAACAAGCAACTAGATTGAAGCAGTAATCAGCAGTCTCCCAACAAAAAAAAGCCCAGGAGCAGGTGGCTTTACTGCTGAAATCTACCACAACTTTAAAGAGGAGTTAATACCAATTCTCTATAACCTATTATATAAACTTGAAACAGAGTCCATTCTCCCAAACTCATTCTATGAGACCAACATCATCCTGATACCAAAACCAGAAAAATATACAACAAAAAAAGAAAAGTACAGGTCATTATCTCTGATGAACAGAGACTCAACAATCCTCAACAAAATATTAGCAACCACAACATGACAACACAGCAAAAAATTATACACCACAATCAAGTGGGATTTATCCTAGGGATGCAAGGATGGTTCAACCTATGTAAGTCAAAAAACAAAACACCACATCAACAAAATCAAGCACAAAAACCATATAATTATCTCATTAGATGCAGAAAAAGCACTTGACAAAATTCAACATGTCTTCGTGATAAAGTTTCTCAGCAAATTAGGTATAGAAAGAAATTATCTCAACACAAAAGCCATGTACAACACACCCACTGCCAATATCACCCTGAATCAGGCAAAGCCAAAAGCCTTTCCCTTAAGAACACGAACAAGACAAGGATACCCTCCCTCACCATTCCTATTTAACGTAGTATTAGAAGTACTAGCCAGAACAATCAGGAAAGAGAAAGAAAGAAAGGACATTCAGATCAGAAAAGAAGTCAAACTGTTGCTGCCTGCAGATGACATAATCCTATATACAGAAAAACCTAAAGACTCTACCCAAAAACGCTTAGAGCTGATAAATAATTCTAGTAAAGCTGCAGGATATAAAATCAACATGCAAAAATCAGTAGTGTCTTTATACTCCAGTAACAAATTAGGAGAAAAAGAAATCAAGAAAGCAAGCCCATTTACAATAGTCACCAAAAAAAGAAAATACCTAGGAATCAATTTAACCAAGGTGAAAGGGCTCTATGATAATAACTACAAATTACTGCTGAGAAATTCAGAGGACAAAAAGGAGAGTGAATGAGGTTAGTCTCTGCTCTCTCTGCTCCGCTGTTTCACAATGTGATAACTTGTTGTCACTAAAGTCACTACCAAAGAACGTTTCAGAAAAAAAAAAAATTTAAAGAGGAACACAAAAATTTGGAAAGACATTCCATGCTACTGGACTGGAAGAAATAATATTGTGAAAATGTCCATACTACCCAAAGTGATCTATATATTCAATGCAGTCCCTACCAAAATTCTGATGACATTCTTAACAGAAACAAAAAACAATCCTAACATTCGTACGGGACAACAAAAAGACTCCGAAGAGCCAAAGCATTCCTAAGCAAGAAGAAAATAAAGCCAGAGGCATAATACTACCTGACGTCACATTATACTACAAAGCTGTGGTAACCAAAACACCATGGTACTGGCATTAAAACAGACATTTTGCACAATGGAGCAGAATACAAAACACAGAAATCAACCCACATATTTACAGCCAATTGATCTTTGGCAAGGGCAACAGGAGCATATACACTGGGGAAAGGACTGCCTCTTCAATAAGTGGTGCTGGGAAAACTGGACATCCACATGTAGAAGAATGAAACTAGACCTGTACCTCTCGCCATATAGCAAACTCAACTCTAAATGGATTTAAGACTTTCTAAGACCTGAAAGTATAAAACTACTAAAAGAAAACAAAGGGGAAGCACTTCATGAAGCAGGATTGGGCAAAGACTTTATGTTACTCACACACAGCACAAGCAACAAATGAAAAAAATAAACAAATGGGATTACAGCAAACTAAAAAGCTTCTGTATAGCAAAAGAAACAGAGCAGAAAGACAACCTACAGAATGGGAGAAAATATTTGCAAAATATGCATCTGACAAGGGATTAACATCCAGAATATATATGGAATTCAAGCAACTTAACAGTAAAAACAAAAACAAAAATAAAAACAACAATTAAAAAATGGGCAAAGGAGCTGAATAGGCATTTCTCGAAAGAAGACATACAAATGGCAGAAACACATGAAAAAATGCTCAACATCACTTAGCATCAGGGAAACACAAATCAAAACCACAATGAAATATCATCTCACTGCAGTTAGCCTGACCATTATCAAAAAGACAAGGAGGTGCACAAAGAAGAACCCTCTTACACCACTGGTGGGAATATAAAGTAGTCCAGCAAGTATGGAAAACAGTACGGAGGCTCCTCAAACCACTACAGATAGACCTGCCATATGACCCAGCAACCTCGCTACTGAGTGTATATCCAAAGGAATGAAAATTATCATGCCAAAGGGACACCTGCACTCCCACGTTAACTGCAGTTGTATTTACAATAGCTAAGAGTTGGAACCTACCTAAATGTCCATCATCAGATGACTGGATAAGGAAAACGTGGTATATATACACAGTGGAACACTACTCTGCCATAAAAAGGAATGAAACTCTGCCATTTGCAGCAACATGGATGAACTCAGAGAAAATTATGTTAAGTGAAATAAGCCAGGCACAGAAAGAGAAATACCACACGTCCTCACTCATAAGTGGAAGCTAAAAAAATAAAGAAAGATACAACCATCACAACAATTCATTGAACTTTCAAAAGGAGAGAACAGAACTGAGGCCACCAAAGGTGGGTGGGTCAGGGGGTGGGTTGGTAAGCAAGAAATTGGTAAAGGTCCACAAAAAATGATTACATTGTGTAATGATAATATAGTAATTATCCTGATTTGAGCATCACATATTACACACAGGTGTTGCTATTCAATGTTGTACCCCACAGATATGTAGTCAAATATGTTTCAATTAAAAACAAATAAAATTTTTTAAAAATTAAAAATAGAGTAAGGACTAAGATTAAGAGGTCAAAGTTCTAGATTTAGACATAACACCAGACAGCTGTATGTCTTTTAAGTAAATAAGTTAAATTCTCTGTGTTTGGGTTTCTTATCTGTTCAACAAGGTATTTAGATTAAGTGTCTCACACTACGGCGTATTTCAGAAAGGAAAAATGCAGTCACACAGAATTTTCTCTAGCTTTAACAGCAGCTATAATTCAAGACTTGACACTACAGGAACTAGCAGGCAAAAAGCCAGAGGATTTCAAAATGTCATTATACCAGAAAACGTAGGATGTTCACTCACTGATTAGATCACTCTAAAATTTCTGAAGCTGTATAAGATGGTAAAGCTGATAATTACTCTTAAAGCTGAATAAAGTACAGAAATTCCTTTCCAACCAATGGAGATAATGTTCCTGAAAACTACTATAGCTAGTTATCTGTGCTTTATCAAGATTAAGGTCTCCCAGAATACAGAAAATTATGAGAAAAACAAATCAACTTCTAAAAATATTTCTGAACTCAGTATAAGAAATATGAGGCACATACTACTAAAAGAAGCTAGATTTATGTTTTTTTTTTTTGTCTTTTTCCGTGTCCGGCAACGGATCGCAACCCTCAGTGTCGCCCCCGTACCGGACCAGGACCGGCAACGGGATCGCAACTCTCGGCGTTGCCCCCGCGCCTCGCTCAGCCAGTGAGCAGGAACCGGTCTGTATGTGGGATCCGAACCCTCGGCGGGAGCGCCTCCGCGCTTCCCAAGCGGCGCACTAGTGCAGTGCGCCACCGGGCCGGCCCCAGAAGCTAGATTTATCAATAAAATTCTTGAATCACTTTGTTCAAATATTATTAAAATTTTGGAGTTAATTAAAATAGGACATCCCCACTTCCCACCTTGCAAGCTTCACTTTATGCTGCCTACATCTCCTAAAAGTTTTTAAATTATCCTTTCTGGCCTGAAATCTAATGCCATTTGCATTTACTTTTTCCTTTCAGTTTCATTAAGTCTTGGAAAAGAGTTTCAGAGAGGTTGATTTTGGGGGCACAATATTTTATCTACATGTTGAGAGGGTCCATCATGAAGATAAATTCCTCTTTTGCAGCATCTCACATATAGACACATGGTCCTCTGGGGTAGGGTGGTAGTGGTTTAGAAGAAACAGTAATTACAGTACTCTTTCCGTTAAGGGTCTGAACAAAAATGTCCACAACAGAAAAGCATACAAATTTTAAACTGTGGGTATCCTTTAAAAAAAAGTTGAAAAGGTATTATACAAATATTCAGAAGTCTTTTTCATTATCAGTGACTTACATAGGCACTTAGGTGAATACGTGAATGTAAAAATATATAAAATGAGTAACTCTACTCTCCCTTCCACACTAATGTACAGCTGATAGGTACAAATGGCACAAGTTACTGGCACAGATCTTAAAGTCAAGCCATGTGTTGTTAATGTCAAAAAAATTAGACTTGACAAGAGAACATCAACAGACAGGAAACATTTACCTTAAATTGCTTGGACCTGACTTATTTGGGTTTATTGCTAATCTGGAGTTTAGATAGCTTAATTCCAAAAGAGCAGACTAACACACACCAAAAAAAAAAAAAAGATACTTTAGATATCTGACATAATTCCAATGCAATGCTTTAAATCAGTTGCTGTCCATGAAGACATCTAACTGAGAATAGTCAAAATCTAAGGCATAAGCTAAGTGAGACTGCTGTGATTATTTGTTAAGATGTAAACCACCGGGGCCGGCCCGGTGGCGCACTGCGATAGTGCGCCGCTTGGGAAGTGCGGCGGCGCTCCCACCGAGGGTTCGGATCCCACATACAGACCGGTTCCCGCTCACTGGCTGAGCGAGGCGCGGGAGCAACACCGAGGGTTGCGATCCCGTTGCTGGTCCCGGTCTGGTACGGGGGTGACACTGAGGGTTGTGATCCGTTGCCGGACACGGAAAAAGACAAAAAAAAAAAAAAGATGTAAACCACCATGTCTCCATCTGTGGCCTTCTGGTGGGCTTCCCAGTAGTCCAAACAACATCAACTTGCAAGACAAACTAGAGTAAATCACCTTTGTTATTATAAGAATGGATAATAAACAAAACCCTTTCAGAATAATTCTGGAATCTGGAGACTTCACTTGTTTAGGTTCCTGAATACACAATCTTCCACGATATATTCAGAATATCAACTCAATTAAAAGTTAAATACATTAATTCAGGGTTCAGGCCTTTTGTAAATGGAATAGAGTGCAATAAAACAAAGTCTGGGACTCATAATAAAAGTGAATAAGAGAAAATGATTTTTGAATTATTGTTCCTAGTTAGGCAACATAAAAGTAACTCACCTGAATAATATGGGGAAGGCAAGTGCTGTCTGATAGCAGTCTTTTCACTCTGGGTAAAGGCCGAATGATGGCATTATCTTGATCCCTAGAAAATATTTTCTAAGGTCAACATTTAATATAATTATTAAAATTTGTATGTTCAGAGCATATGACATTCTACTAGGCATGAAGCAGGTTACCTTACTTTTTTGTTAATGAAGACTAAGCTCTCATACAGCTGGGAACATGATTAGGTATTTTGGTTTAAATCTATTTGGCTGCTTAATATGACTTCATTTCCTTCCATAAGATTTCCTTGAAAAACAGTACCCTAGAAGAGCCAAAGACTCTTATTTATTATTTAATTGATTAAACTTGGTGTTGTCCAACACACTATCAGTGGATATTCCCCCCAAAGGGCATATCAAACTCTGTCACATAAATTTAAACCTTAACTACACTCAGTACTTTCCAAATATAGCCTAATTTTCATGCTACGTTATCTCTAAATACTAACTGTTTTGAGTCTAGTCTGATTTTTAAAAAGAAATAGAACCATGAAAACCTCAAGTGTTATAAAACATATGATAGTTTCTCAATAATCTCCATCACAAGACATTTTCTATATAGTAATAAAACAAAATGATACGTATGCAAATATTTTATAAAGATTGAAAAGTTCCATGCAAGGATTATAATTATGATTGTCACTGGAGAACAAATTATCAACTTCACTAGACAAGTGGTGAAAGATGTGGGCCTAGACTCACCTTCTATACCAGGAGTGGCTAACCTGACAGATCAAGAGCTGACACTCCAGAGATTGCAGTATTCTTATTTGAAAACATTCATATCTAATTCACATAAATATTACAACTGTTACTATCCTGGAGTGCAGTTAGTAAGTCTCAGTTTTATTATTATTTGAAACCTCTCAGAAAGATGCTTTTTACCTATTTTACCAATATCATTTGCAAATTGATTCTTTGTATCTGTTTCAAAAAGTTCCAAAGGTCAAAGCAGCATTCTGCCAATACCACAAATACCAAGTCTTTTTTAATCACCAGAGTAATCCCATGACAGTTATTGAGGAAGCATCCATACAAACAGGGAGAAAATATTTTAGAGTCCCCTGTTAACCACAGAAATGTTCAATTACATTTTACCTGCTTGGAAAATATCCACACATTGTGATCAACATGTTCAATATAAGGGTAGCAAGGTCAGTTTCATTCAGTACAGCCTGTCCACTGGCCAACAGACACCACTTAAGCTGGGGTATTGCCTGAAGTGGTCGCCATCCATCCATGCCTTGAGCCCAGCATCTAGTTTTAGCATTTAGCATTCCTTTGGTCCACAATTCTTGCATCTTAATGGATGAAAGGCATCATTATTACAAACAGACAAATAGAAAACAGTGGCAAAATTTTTTACTTTATAGTAAATATATACTAAATTATTAAACAAATATGCAAGTTCACTTAAAATAAAAGTTTCTGGGGCAGGCTCAGTGGTGCACTCGGTAGAGTGCGACGCTTGGGAGCGTGGCGGCGCTCCCTCCGAGGGTTCGGATCCCATATAGAGACTGGTACGCTCACTGGTTGAGCGCAGTGCGGGCGCGACACCGAGGGTTGCGATCCCGTTGCCGGTTGCGGTACGGGCGCGACACTGAGGGTTGCGATCCCGTTACCGGTCATGAAAAAAGACAAAAAGGAAAAAGAAAAAAGAAAGAAAAGTTTCTGTTGACAGGCTTTTCAGGACCTAAATTTGGCTAAATGCAAGAAAAAAAACTGAGTTGGTCAACCTGCAGAGCATAAGGAACACTGGAAAGAGTAAAAATAGTAGGCAGAATGTAAAAAGACCAAATTATATAAGAGCAG